CTTTAAAAGACACTGAACTGTACACAAAAATATTGTGTATCACTTATTTATCGGTGTACCCTTGAATAAATCAGCCTCTAAGTCCTCAAATTTTTCCACATTTAAAATGGGATAATAATTATACTTACCTCATAATGTTAAGATAACTAAATTATTTTAATATATACAGGAGGGGCCTTAGAACAACGCTTAGCAAATATTAACTGCTTAATGAATGGTTATTAATATTTACTGCACTTCATCTACATTCCAGGCAGGGAGCCTGAATGAGAATTCTTTGTCTGCATTTCATCCTTCTAACTTTACAAAACTCTTGCACATTTTCACCTCATCTCCTTTCAATGCTTTTTGAGATAGGTAGGAAAAATTTAATCCTGCCCACTGACAGGAGAAAAAGATGCCCAGTGCCTTACTAAAAGAATGTGTGTGTGGGGGGGGAATGTGTGAGAGCTGGGCATGGTGGTGCACACCTGTAATCCCAGCAGCTCAGGAGGCTGAGGCAGGATTGTGAGTACAAAGCCTGCCTCAGTAACAAAGAGGTGCTAAGCAACTCAGTGAGACCCCTGTCTCTAAATAAAATACAAAATGGGGCTGTGATGTGGCTCAAGTGGTCAAGTACCTCTGAGTTCAATCCATAGTACCAAAAAAAAAAAAAAGTGTGAAAGAGAGCTCTAGAATTCAAATATTCCAAATGTCCAAAGTATACTCAAAGTATACTGTTTACTTCAACGTAAACAAGTAAACAGTAAAAAATAAATAAATTTTTAAAAATTGATGAAAAATTGAGGCATTTGTCCAGAAAATTTGCAGCCCCTGCCCACATTCAAACTCATGGATTATCCATAACTGGGTTATGTCCATTCTCCTTCAGTTGAGCCTTATTTCTGGTCAAGGATTGTCAGGATCTATCTCCACTCATTGGAAGACCTGTCTTTTTCACTCCCTCAGGGAATGTTCAGGATGTGACTGAGTCCTGGTCAGCCTTGGACCCTACTCCTATGTTCCTCTTTTTTTTTTTTTTTTTGGTACTGGGGATTGAACCCAGGGGCGCTTAACCACTGAGCCACATCCCCAGACCTCTTTATTTTTTATTTTGAGACAATGTCTCACTAAGGCTGGGGCTGGCTTGGAACTCATGATCCTCCTGCCTCAGCCTCCAGAGCCACTGGGATTATAGGCATGCACCACTGTGCCAGGCCCTACTTATTCATTTCCTATTTTGAAAAATAAGCCTCTGTTGGAATAAACTGATTCTAATAGGGTTTTTTATTGTCTGTGCCTAAAAATCATTTCTAACAGTTACTGTTAAAATGTACAAGTCTTTGTTCCTATCATAATAACTTAATTTATACTTCTTTCTTTAGCTTATAACTCCTATTAGGTCAAACTGCCGATGTCAGATCTAGTAGTAGCAATGATGATAATAATAATAGTACTTTGGTTCTGTGTGCTCTTGGCTTAATTTATTAGACATAAGATCTTTAAAATCATTTTTAAGAATTTCTAGACTTAAAAAATATCTACACACTTGCATTATTTCTAGAGACTTAAGGGTATATTATACCCTTTGGCCTCTTAAATATTAACCAGTGAGACATCTTAGTGTCTCACTATAACAGCATCACTGAAAGATGAAATAACTCAGTTCCAGCAATACTGAATTGGTAAAGGCTAAATAATAAATTCAAAATAGTTCAGGATTTTTCAGTTTAAGATGATTATTGTTTCAAGTATGTGACTCACTTTCCACGCATCTGTTTTCAATCATTAATAAAAAGCATGATCAGTGGTAGGGACCATTTACTTTAAAGGATGTAGAGGATATACTTTAAAGATCTTTTAAAGGATATAATTCCTGGGAGTTTAATTTTAGTGTAATTCTTGCCTACTGAAACTAGCAGAGGGGGTTTTAGGTGTCTTGTTACCACTAAAGATTACTCATATCTTCCAATTACATGTCTTTTCCCATCCTTTCATTGTTTAGATCCCTAACATAAGTAATATATCACCAAGTACCTGTTACACAAAGGAATATGTTAGGTTGCTATATTAATTTTTCAAGTACACATGTGTATGCATTGGAAGAGAGAGACTCAAGCTCTTCCACACTGCTAAAATCCTTAGAGCGCAGGCCTTCATGTTCTTGCTTGTCATCATGTGGCCCAGTGATGGATGCCATGCCTCCAAACATTTCTGGCAAAAAGAACTGGAATGGAGGGAAAAGAGAGAAGAAAGGAAAAGAAAACAAAGGCACATGCGAGTCTTAAGCCTTTCCAGAAGCTCCACCCAGCTGCTTCCCTTGTGGTTCTAACGTGGTCCTCTTAGACCAGCAGTGTCCAACAGAAATAAAATATGAGCCACAAATAGGAGCTACATATTTCTTCCTTCCAACTTTCCCTTCCTTTCTCTTTCTTTTGCTAGGGATCAATCCCAGGCATTGTTCATGCTAGATACATACTCTACTACTGAGCTGTACTCTCCAGCCACCCCAAAATGTAATTTTAAATGTTCTGCGGCACAAAGAAAGAAAAAGGGGATATAGATAAATAGCGAAACGCTTGCCTAGCATGTGTGAGGCCCTGGATTCAACCCCCAGTACTTAAAAAAGTGAACAGAGATAAAATAAATTTTAATGTATGTCACTTAACACAGAATATCCAAATTATTGCTTTGACATGTGATCAATGTTCTTGATATATTTTACAGTTTTTTAATTACTTCAAATACAGGATGTATCTCCCTTTAAAACTAGCCACCTTTCAAGTGTTCCATAGCCCTACCACCATATTGGACAAGAAGCCTGTGATACTGTGATATAACAAGAAATAGCTACTTGGTCTCTGCCCTGGTTCCTGAGACAGAACTCCTAAAATCTTTGCAGATTGGGCACTATGATTATCTTCTGTACTAACATTTGGTCTCTATCCCCAGCTCATGATGAAGAGTTCATGACTTTTGTAATTGTGAGTGATAACATCGATACGGAGTTATTAAATCTCTGGGGATTTTCTGGGTAATAAGAGAATTTTTGCTCTAATGAGGGAACACTCCGTGGGTTCCAAGATAGCCTCAGGACCAAGGAGGCTGGTTCTAGGAAAACCAACCATGTGATTAGAATTAGAACTTTCAGACCTACCATTGACCTCCAGTTGAAGGTTAAATTGATCATCAGTGGTCAAAGATGAAATCTATTATGCTTATGTAAGTAACCTCCATAAACCCTAGAGGACAGGGTTTGAGAATTTCCTGATTGCTGAAAGTGTAGAGGTGCCTGGAGGGTGGCATGGCCAGAGAGGACAAGGAGTCTCCACACCCCTTCTCATATACCTTGCCCCATGCATGTTTTCCATCCGGTTGTTCATCAACATATTTAGTAACATCCTTTATAACATACTGATGAGGGTGTATGTAGTAGCGAAAAAGCCTGTTTTTCTAATAATGAACTAGTAGTATGTTTCTTCACAAGAAGCCTTTGACCAATCACTGGAAGTTTCTAAAGAGAGAGGAAAAAAAATGTGGATTGTAGTCGACCAGTCAAACAGGTATCTGCCTCCTTGACATTAGCAGACATTTCATTTAATAAGGATGAACTGACTCAATTAAACCAAAATAAGTCCCACCCATGATAGCTCTCTAGCGTAGGACAAATTTTAAAAAAAATTTATTTATTTATTCCATATGCCTTGCCTCTTATTTCTCTATCGATGAAGCATCTACAAAGGCAGTTGAAGTTTTGAAGTTTCCTTCATTCAGCTTGCTGCATCTTGAAAATTTCTGGCTAGCAGGGTTATTTTAGGTCACGCTTATTTATAGCCCTTTTTTTACTGCGGTGGTTACTATAGCAGCCATACCTATCATCTGTAATCTAACTACAGTGTTCTCTCACCTGCCCCACCCTTCAAAGTTCAGAGTGGCATGGTTGCTCCAGAATTTACATAATTGTCAGACTTTGGAAGGGAATGATTCGTTTTTCTCTGGTACTCCTCAATTTTCTCCATCCTACATTTCCATCTCTTTTAATTTGCTTATTCCATATGCCTTGCATCTTATTTCTTAAATTGTCATTACCACTTTAAGAGTATAAAACTTTAAGAGTACTGTAAGGAATTTCTGGTGGCAACATTTCTGAATTAAGAATGAACAAACATCCTCCTAAACCCTAACCGTGGGTGTGTTCAGATGTGGGAAGGCGTGGTTCTTGCCTCTTTCAAGGACAGGGAAATTTAGCGCACCAGCGCTTTCCCAAGAACACTGAATATCTATTTACGGTGATGTGGCGGTAGGGATGATTAGTAAATCCCCTGCGGATCCATAACTGTGTCACCAGCGGTGAAGAGTGGCTTAGAATTCTGAGGAAGAGCCAGTCTTACACACCCGGATAAAAACAGCTCCGAAACACAAAGAGTTCCTCAAGTGCGGGAGCCTAGTGTGTCTTGGGCACTCCCCCTTCTCCCTTTCCATTCTTCTGCCCCGTATCCAGCTCCATCGTCTCTAATCCTCTAAGGATCGTGCAGGAGGGACCCAGACCTCAGCTTCCTCTCTTCCCCCGGGACTCCAAGACTGGTACCCGCAGATACCCCCGCCCGCGCCTGCGCAGAGCCTCTTCTCGCGCGAACGTTCGGCCCCGACCCCCCACACTCCCGTAGACCCCAGGAGGGACCGGCGTGGGCCGCCGTACATCTGCCTCAGCTCTTTCACGGAGGCGCACCTCCGAGTTCCTCCTACTCTGCGGGGTCCTTCTCCCGTCCTCGGGATCGCCACCACACAAGCGTGCGCGGCCTGTGAACAGTTAACCTCGTGGATTCGGGCTGAAGAAGGTGCTGCTCGCGGAACCGGAGCGCCCGGCGGCGAGGCCTCTAGGCGGAGCCCCGCCCCGCGGCCGGCTCCTTGCCTCCCATTGGTCCGCGCGCCCGTCCGTTCGCCCATGGGCCGGCGCCGCTTTCCTGGCTACCTCGGAACGTGCGGGGCCGCCCAGACCAGTGCAAGCCAGAGGTGGTGCAGGCTTCAGAAACTCGGAGCTGAGAAGGGCCGGGCGGCGCCGGGGCTGAGCATCGCGGAGCCGGCTGCAGGGCCGCGGCCTCTCCGCCCGGAGCACCACCTGTCGCTGGGTGAAACGTCTGATAAGGCTGGGCACGGTACGCAGTTGAGGGCGGCCTGGGGCTGCGGGGCTGGGCGGGGAGCCGGCGCCGGCCTTCTCGGGACCGGCCCGGGAAGCCGAGCGCGGCCTCCACGCGGGTGGCCCGCGTCTGGCGGATGCGCGGCGGGATGAGGGTAAGCGGCCGGCGCAGCCCGAGCTGAGGGTGTGGGGCTGATCGGATCCGGCGCACGCTTTGGGGGCATGTTTTCCCGGTTTCCACGCTCGCTGGTGCCGGGGTTTCCACCCCACCCCCGGGGGTCGGGCATCTTTTCTTTTCCTGCTCCGGCGCCGGTCAAGACCGATTTTTTTTGTGGCTGGAAACCCCTTAGACAGAATATTTTTCTCAGCGGGGATGAGGGAGTGGCAGTGTTTGTGTTCCTCATTTGAAGAGTGTTGCTGCAGGCTAGAAAGTTCCAAGATCCGAGTGGTTCCGGAGTGGTTCAGTCCATTCATTTGAAACAGCATCTGTGCACCGGGGTTGGCAGGTGTTTCTTTAACGCTCGCGACAACCAACTCTGCCTGTGGTGTTGCATTTGTGACCTTAGATTTGACTTTATTTATTTTTTGGTTCTGAAGATTAGTCTAGAAAGTTAACGTGGCTTGTGAAAGGCGAGATCAAAATAACCTCGACCGAAGAGCTTCTTTACGAAACGTTTTGTCATCTCATACCTGTGGATTTGCCTTCCTGAGGCTTGTGGCAATCACTTTCTAAGCAAAGCAGTTAATGGCATTGTTATTTCTTTTAATGTTCTAATTGGGATAACAGTAGAAGCTCTGTTGTTCCTGATGGGCGGGGCACTCCTCTCAGTAGATTATCTCAGAATAACCCTTTGGGGTTGGTACTGTTATTATCTCCCAGTATACAATCGAAGAAGCCGAGGCTTAGTTAGGAAAGTTAAGTTAAAAACCTGGATTCAAACTCAAACGGTCTAACTTCATAGTTCCACTCTCCCCTCTTAACGTGTGTGTTCCCTTAAGGACTTGTACCTGTTGTTAAACTAATTGCAAAGTAATGTCATAAATATTCAGCTTTAGTTTCAAAATATTCTGGAAGTCAGAGAAGTCGTTTTCCCAAAACAAATAGATGTATCTTTTGTGTGAGTATATAAGTAATTGATTATATATTGTAACGTTACACAGCTTGCAGAAATACAGAACAAAGGTTTAATTGTCTGTTTTAATATTTATTTTTTAGTTGTAGTCGGACACATTATTTTATTTATTTTTATGTGGGGCTGAGGATCGAACCCAGGGCAAACGCATGCTAAGTGAATGCTCTAAGGCTGAGCCACAAGCCCAGCCCTAATTGTCTTTTAAATTGGATTTTTAATCAACTTTTGGCCTGATTTGTAACTTGTACCTGACTCTTAAGGATAGTTAGAAAGCCTTGAAAATTCTATATAGAGGCCAGAAGTGCTTTATCATATAATCTTTATCAGGCATTAATAGAAAATGTTGGGTAATGCTTTTGTAGACGTTCTTCATTCTCTTGAGAGTAACATACTCATGCTTAATAGTTGTTACTGAAAAAGAGGTGCTTGTGGGTTTCACCCTTCTAAGGTGTTTGTGTATGTTTCTGTTTTTTAATGAAAATACATGTGAGAATTATAAAGGAAAAACTTATTTACCATTTTAGGGTTGGGTTTTGTTGTTTTTGTTTTTGGTAAGTTAAACGCTGTTATAATGCTGTTTATGTCTAATTTGCATTTAATTTCATATAAAGAAGCTATTCTAATCCATATTAAAGTTTACATAAGTTAAACTAAAATTTTAATATGTTGGTGAATTTATTAAAGGTTAGCTAGTTTGTTTGAAAGTCTTTTGCTTATATGGCTGCATGTTATACTTAGTTTGGTGAACATGATACAGATTTCAGAAGTAATGAATCAACTCCATAGAGATGTTTGATTTGCCTGGATCTGTTGCCAAATTCTCATTCTTGATCTAGAGATTTAAATTGAAGAAATGCTTTAAATGAATGTTAGTCATTATCTTCAGAGCCTCTTAGTATGGATTTCATCTTTAGAAGATGTTGATGGAGAAACTAGCAGGCATTTAGAAAGCAACTTATGACCACCTTGAATGACTGATAATCAATGCACTCATCAAAGCACTCAGAGCACTGTGATAAGTATCTTAAATGGATTATCTAATTGACTTCTTAAAACAGCCTTATTTAATAGCTTTTCTTGTTCATCCCCATTTGAGTAATGAAAGAATTGCAACTCAGGGAGGTTGTAGCTTAACTCAGAATCGCCAGTGTAGCAAATGGCAAAGCCAGGATTTGAAGATCAGACAGGTTGACTCTGGAGCTTGCTCTTTGACCACTCTTGCTAGACAACCTAGGTATATGTTTTAGTGAATAAACCTTCAAGTCAATCAAGCTCAACAATTATGACAATTAAGATTATAAAGCTCTAAGGTTTTGATGCTTTATATATCTATTATCATTACTATACATAATTCTGCAAAACAGAGTTTCCTTTCCCTGTTTTATTGATGAGAAAAAAAATGAGATTTCTTAGTGGTTTCCAGATTGGACTTTATAGACAAGTTTTTTAAAAATATATTTATGGGGGTGGGACATTTGGGACCAGAGGTAAGACTGCCAGTTTCTACTGTCCCCATCCTTTCCTAAAAGAGAATATTTTTACTGTCCAAAAGGTAGAAAAGTCATAATTATGACATAAAAACAAAAAAATAATTTAGTATTATGAATATATTACATTGTCTTAGATTCTTATTTGGTTACAGACCAGTGAAAATGTCTTCCATACTAACACCAGATCATTTGGGAACACAGGGTGACAACAGATTCTTAATTGATAATTAGCCAAGACCTCTCTTTAGTGAACAGTGTCTAGTGTTTTGGTCTCTCCTGAACAGTCTTCCCAGGTCTTAACCAACTCTTTTCTGCCTCCTGGGTAAGGCCTGGGGAGGGTGACTTCCAGCAGCCAATGACATAATAGTTTTAGTCCCAATCCAGGTTGTAAACACCATGGAGAGGGAGTTCCATTGCCTCCCAGTTCAAGAACCACCTTCTTTATCAAAATTTACTTTTGGAAAGGACCAGGTATGGTTGAATGACAGGGACACACCAGGGGAGAAATGAGGTATGTCCTAATGGTATCCAAGAAACTGTGGAGTAAGTAGCTTGATTTAGCATGTTTATTTAAAGTTGGAATCTCAACCATCTTTTGTTTCCTGGTTTTCTTTTCTTTCTCACCCCTCCCCTCTACTGGATATTGAATCCAGGGCTCTTTACCACTCAACTACATCCCCAGCCTTCTGCCCACTTTTTTTTTAAAGGAAAGAGAGAGAGAGGATCTTTTAGGTAGATGGACACAACACAATGCCTTTATTTTTATGTGGTGCTGAGAATCAAACCTGGGTCCTACCCATGCTAGGCGAGTACTCTACCGCTGAGCCACAATCCCAGCCCTGCCCACCCCCTTTTTTATTTTTTATTTTGAGACAGATTCTGGTTAAATTGCTGAGGCTGTCCTTCAATTTGGATTCTCCCGCCTCCGCTTCCCACTGGGATTATTGGTGTGTGTGCCATCACACCCAGGCTTGTTTCTTGTTTTTACTTCTTTTATTCTTCTGTCCTACTATAAAACATAAGGAGTTAGGTGTGGTTTTCCTCATTTTATGTGTCTCCAGCTGATAATAACTCCACCTGTCAGTTTCTCTTTGTAACTGTCTTGCATTCTAATTTTGGCAGAGATTGGGTATTTTTCTTATTATTTATTTATTTTCTTATTCATGCCTACTTGTTTTAAAAACACTATTAAACCAGGTGCATGGTGCACACCTGTAATCCCAGTGGCTCAGGAGGCTGAAGCAGAAGGATTGCTAGTTCAAAGCCAATCTCAGCAATAGTGAAGTGCTAAGCAACTCAGCGAGACCCTGTCTATAAATAAAATACAAAATAGGGCTGGGGATGTGGCTCAGTGGTCGAGTGCCCCTGGTACCAAAAAAACACAAAAAACACTATTAAATTTTATTTTATATTTTATTTTACTTGAGTAATTTAATGATAGAGCATTTTTATAAATTATAATACTCTTTTACATATATTTTATTATTTGATCATCACAGTTATCTGTGACAGGTGATGTAACCTTTATTATACAGGCTGAATTCAGTATTTGATAGAAGCAAAATTAGAGCTGAAAATATAAGACTTCATATTTTAAATGTTGGTCTTAATTAAGTTAACTGCTGATTGCAAAAGATTTTTTTTTTCAGATTGCCTTTGATTTTAAATAAAATGTATCCATACTACCTTTAAATTTGCCTACCTCACCAGTATATTATAATGTTTTGGTACCAAAATTTTTTTATGGTAAGTAATGATGTTACCCCTGAAAGAACCACATAAACATGTGATCAAGTTGTCCTTCAAGACTCTTTTTTTTTTTTTTTTAAATAACAATGCCAAGATTTAGGTTTTCTCCTCCTTTTGCCTGGGTGTCCTCTTTTAATACTATTGTAGTGGAGGGGAAGCTCCCTGGTGCATATTTCTCTGCTGCTGTTGCTGTAATTAATATTACTAATAATATTATATTGTTTGGCTAATTTTGTAAAGGATTACAGAATCTAGAGTCAGTGGTTAGTGCTTTCTGCAGTATGTTAATGAATGTAAAGTGGCATGGACCTTCTAAACAATATAATCCTGAAAGATACGAAGTCATATTTGAATCATTTTATATTTAAAAGTAGACTTCAAGAACTTGCTAATTAAAGAAACTGAGTAAATAATCTCTTATAAAGCAGATTCTCTTAAAATTAAAATCAATGAAGTTTCTCAAAGCAGGCTCCTGTTTATTCTTCGGCAGTGTACATTTTTAATAGATACTTAATTATTGAGGTAGTGAAGATAATTCATAGGTACATAGAAGTTATTAAAAAAAAAGAAAAAAAGAAAAGAAAAAACTTGGGGAAAGCCTGTAGTTTTAACCACTGAGCCACATCCCTGGCCTTTTTTATTTTTTA